ATATAGTGTATGTGTGTGTGACTGATTGTATGTATATATGCATCTATCTCGGCATCGTCATATCTACAGTTTGCTGGAAATATGCCAAAGTTGTAAATATATTCGTTGCGCGTAAAGACTACCGAGACTTAAATCCAAGAGGGGTCACCACACACCTTCCCCTCCACTTTGATATGAACTCCCAGCCTCTTCCGGCGATATTTTGTCCTTTTGACCCGCATCCTGCACTCGCTGCAGTATATTGTCGCTTATCACTAAATTTCTCACGCCATCGTATATACTGCAAATTTCCTCTATTACAGGTTCTATTTCTTTGTCACACAGTGGTTGATTCTCCTTCGCTGTTAGCTTGGCGGAAAAGGCCTTCATGGCCTTTGCTACCCAGTCAACCCACACTTCATCCTGGTGCGGACCCTCCCAGTCGCGTGATCGATATGCCTGTGTATCATGGATGTATTGATCCTTTTTCAAGGACATCAATTCCATAAACATCTCGGCATCCATGTCAGAGTTTGTAATCAGATTGGGCATGCGTTCGTATAGCCGCTGAGCAATATCGGCTGGAGTCACAGCTGCATCATCACCCGTACTTGACATCTTAATTCTCAACAGATGTATGGAACCACTTTCAAGTTGTTTTAGCGAAATGAGAACCTAATGATTGCTGAACCTGAACTAACATACAATAGATATGTATTTATTGAACATACTGTTCGATTATAGGTTATACAGAGTATTTATTTATTAGAGGATTTATGATTTGAGGGCTACTTTTTCATATTGAAATACATCGATATATATAAATTGTATTGTTTTATAAAAAAACAAAACAAATAAAATCAGAAAGTACTTTTCCGTTCAATTTTTGAATTTTCAGAAGGCTAATTTTATTTGTTTTTTATTTGTTGCTTGACATAGCCTCTGTTCAGTGTTCAATAGTTATAAATAGGAGGCTATGTGTTTGATAATAAAATTAAAACTTTGAACAAATTATTTTATTTAACATTTGAATCCGCATTCCACGATCTCTGAGAGAGTATTTTTTTTTGTGATTGTAGTGTTTCATTCGTTTTATCTAAAAAAACAAAAAAAACATCTAAGTAAGCATGGACTCGTCGGTGGCAACAGCAGTATCAGTGACACCCTCAGTGCAACTCTGCTGGGCTGTAGCACCTGTTTTCTCACCACATGTGACAACGGGCTTTAAGAGAACAGTTTCAACCTGGTCCACCATATCGGCAGCGGAGGGCAACATCGTCTTGGCCTTCACAAGAAGTTCTTGCATGCAAGTGACAAGCTCGGCATCGGTAGCGGTAACCAAACAGGTGAAAAGTCAGCGTTGGCAGCATCGATCGCGACCTGGGCCGTGGTGGCCATATCCGCAGCACCGATCATGCCCAACATTGAGCCATAAGTGTTCCAAAGTTTGTTGACCTCCTCGAGGGTCACCTCGACTCCACAATGGTCAAAGTTTGGTTGACCATAGCACACATGCAGATTCGTCTTGAACTCGGTCACGGCGGGATCTACGACCATGGCAATCATGTTTGGATCAATGTCGCGCCGGTTAGCGGGAGTCAGAAGTTTAAGAGCGGCATTAAATGCAGAGTCGATGGTACCCTCCACACAAGCCTTGGCGTCGGCAGCACCTGCACACTTTACAATGGGATCGAACAACTTCGAAACAACCGCATCTATGATGGGGACGGCATCAGGGAACGCAGCCTGGGCCTTGGCAACCAAAGCGGTGTTGCAAGCAACGGCCTCGGCATCAGTGGCTTTCGCAACACACACGGGTATATCGGATTTAGCAGCATCCAAACCTCCTTGGATAGTATCGGACATATCAGCCATGCCCACCATACCAAGCATGGAGTCGTACTGAGCCCACGCGTCGTTGAACTCCGCAAGACCTGGTTTTTCGGCGCATTTGACAAGTTATGATTTATCAGTGTAACATCCGTTGTCGACCAAGTGCTCTTTGAATGCAGGAACAATTGGATCCGCAACCATATGAGCCACGCTGGCGTCAATTGCAATACGGTCCTGGGGCACAGATGCAGCAGTAGCAACAACGGCGATGGAGGCGATAGTGGCGATGAATCGCATAATTTTAGATATGGATGTTTATTATTTTGTTCGGTTGAGTTTTGATTATTGTTATGTAGCGGCCTTCTGACGCTTTTATGCACTTCACGAAATGTATTTCCCCTGGGATCTCTGAGGGATTCTCAATTCTGGAAGACTATTAGACTATAAACTTTCTAGATTTTAGTATAAGCTATGACATCATAATATACTTTTTCTAGATTTTAGAAAGAGTATTTTATTTTAAATGTACTCGCTACATAATCAGATTTGGGATTTCACTGTTTGACTAATGACTATATACAAAATTGAAATATCGGTGGGAAATAAAAATAGTAAATACATATGTACACAATATGTATGTATTTCGACATAATTTTATAAATACATCCACATAAATTCAATCAAATACAAGACATATTAATGTTGAGTAACAGAGTATGTATGGTAAATAAATAATTCGTTCTAATTATTTCAAAATAAACCCATTGGTCTTAAGTGCGCGCCTTAATGATTGGATATAAATCATCGGCTTCTGAAAATAGAGCAATAATAAATGTATGAGAAAATCAGAAAATTCGGTCAGCAGGCACTGTATGTCTCTCTAAATACTCGGCAGTCAGTACTCAGTACTGAGCGTGAGCAGTTGAGCACTAAGCCTCTTAGGTCACACTCTGACTCAGCCGAGTCAGCCCTATCAATACATAAGTCATATCTATAAACTATTCTTAACTTATAACTATATATGTGAGTGTGACTATAGTGAATAGACACAAATAAATAATTATATCTAGATAGTAGATTGGAGATTCTATACTCTTATGTATTTATGTACGACTATAAAGTATTTATAAACCCTAAATAAAGAGTAGTCAGGAGTCAGGAGTCTACTGCTGTACCAGCTATGGGTCCGTGAGTCCCTTGGGATGTCACTCATGTCAGTTGTCAGTTGTGAGCTGTTACTTTTTACTCTCTCTAGAGGTCATACACAATAATGTGGTACTACTGCTTCCTGCTGTGGACGATGAATCTTCATGGAACAATGAACAACACCAATCAGTCCTATCCTGAGTGTTTATTACCACACTACTCATGGTAGACCAAAGAAGAAGTGAGCTCTTGAGGCTTGAGTTGTATTAAAGATAGGATTATGTATTGCTTCTTTTGATATACTGTCAATGACCCAGTCTATGTCATTAACCTTGCGCATGGACAATAAATATGAATTTGCATCTGACGTTTATAAGAGAACGGGAACTGCTAGTAATCCTCACAAACAAAAACAAACAAAATATTAGACATACATATCCAAAATTATGAAGTTCATCGCCACTATCGCCTCCGTCGCCGTTGTTGCTACTGCTGCATCTGTGCCCCAGGATCGTATTGCAATTGACGCCAGCGTGGCTCATATGGTTCAAGAAAGGCTTGCTTATCTCTTGACATTGGTTCGAATATGGCCTGCAAGAAATACTTCATATATTATAGCAGCTGAGCGGTTGATGTATTTCAATGCCGCAGACTCGCATACTAGAATCGTGCCTACTGGGCATACGTCGAGGACTGGCGTTAAATTGTTCTTCTCCGTTTTGGGATCATCACCTTAGTCCACCTAATAGCGTTCAAGAAGTATGCTAATCTACTCAGTTCGACAATGGCACTGTATGCTCAAAGCAAACGCTTTTGCTGGCAAACAGTGTACAGGTTCATAGCGTTAAATAACCCGTTCAGAGCGCGTGAACAAAGGAGGCCAACAGCCTCTACAACTGACGATACGTTCTAAAGGAAGAGTATGTTTGTCCTTGAGAAGTGGTGGCGATACGTTTAGGGTATATTTGTCATTAAGAAAGGGGTCCAAAGTCGTCAATTCGGATATAGTTTATTTTTAAACGTTTAATATTGATGCGAATACACGTCCAAGTCACCCTACGAGATGGCGATCTTATAACACGCGAGACTACAAACGGGCACGTTGTTCTGTGCGGTCGTATACTTCCGTGGATTGGTGCACGTGTTGCTCGCTAGGCACACACGTGGTGGGGGTGGCGTGGGTGCCTTTAGGCTGTAGAACATCACACTCTCATCCACCACATCTGGCTCTACGGGTTCTGTCTGGTCGTCTTTGCAGTCGTTGTTGCTGTCATCACTCCCCTCCTCCGGAGCGACTGATAGTACGGAGACGGACAGCATTGTGGCCTCGCACCGGTCTGTGTACCGGATGTGGGGGTCGGGCAACGAATGAAAGCGTTCCTGTTACATGGAAGGGAATACCACACTGGGTTAGATTTCTCATCACCAGACTCAGATTAAACGTTTTGGCAAACACAGATATGCACCTGCCCACTGTGTGCGAAGGTTGGGACCTGGAGTTGTCCTCTACTTCATGCTGTGTGGTGTGTACCTCTCAGACACACCCACAAGGTGAATCCGTTTCAATGGCTATTATAATGCGAGAAACGATCATGTACGCCTCCTGAGCAAATTACACATCTCTAGCGTCTCTGCGTAGTGTCTCTACTCGCACGTCTGCAAATGCAACGCTCGCAGTGTATGTACCATGGCATGTGTCCAGTATCTCTGCATCACAGACATGAAGAGTGGCATGTAGAGTGGCATGTAGAGTTGCATGTGGAGTGGCATGTAGAGTGGCATATAGAGTGACATGTAGAGTGGCATGTAGAGTGGCATGTAGAGTGGCATGTAGAGTGGCATGTAGAGTGGCATATAGTGACATGTAGAGTGACATGTAGAGTGACATGTAGAGTGGCATGTAGAGTGACATGTAGAGTGGCATATAGAGTGGCATGCAGAGTGGCATGTAGAGTGACATGTAGAGTGACATGTAGAGTGGCATGTAGAGTGGTATGTAGAGTGGCATGTAGAGTGGCATGTCGAGTGGCATGTAGAGTAAC